ACAAAGCGTCAATTTTTCTAAGAAATCGAATTGAAAAGTTGAAAAATGTGAGGAAAATGTTTTGGTATTTCTTGAATTTTCCGAGTTCGTTATGAAATTTAAAAAAAAAAAAAATTATTCTGCTTGTTTTTGTTGCTGAATGCTGTTTTCTTATAGAAAACAAGAAAAATTTTGTATGGAAAATATAAATAAATAAAACCGTCAAAACGTCGGGGTATTCATACTTTTGACGCTGACTGTAAGTATTTATGCAGAAATGGGTGCAAGGGTGTAAATGGCTCAAGCGCATGGAATTCCACAATTTCTCTAGCGGTAATAATTTTATGCAACATAAATTAGATGTTGAAATAATTCTTTTCAAAGGTAGTTGGGTTGGTAAGTTGCTGCAGCCATTACCGCCGCACTCAAGTCGTTTGCACTTACAGCTTTGAGGAGAGTTTTTTCCCCACAAATATTATTAGCACGCTTTTAAAAGTGAAGCGTTTTTTCTACTTCTAGATTTGGGCAGTGCTAACGAAACGCCAACAAATGGCGTTGCTTATGTGGACGCACGGTGAGGAGGCGCTAGCGAAATCCTTGGTGGCCTGCAAGCTGTACAAGGCAATGGCGCACGAGGCGGCCGAGGATGATTTAGATACGGAAATCTATGATGAATTGCGCGCATATGCAAAGGAATTCGAAAGCAAAGGTTAGTAAAAGGCTACGTGTGTGTGTGTGTGTAATTTTGTGTGATTCATTTAAAGCTGATTGCAAGTGTCTATTGGTTGAGCATCCTCTTGCCATGTCTAAGTGCATATTTGTTAGAGGAAGCACTTAGTTACTAGAAATGTATGAGAACAGGTAGTGAATTGCCATTTCTAGTAACCACAAAGTAAGCCAATTCAAGTGTGCAAGCCGCTTGAATTTATTACCTGTTAGTTGGCTTCCTTTCAATATGCTTTCAATCATTGTATTCGCTATGAATTCGCCTTTACTTCTTTTAGAATGGCTTTTTGTCATTTCTTTTCCTCTCCAAAAGCTTTCAATCACTTTAACTGTTCTATTCGTTTGCAGGCATCAAGTTACTAGATTTCAGCTATCGTACAGATGGGGAGAAGGCTCAACGACTGTTGACATGTGAACTGCACTCATGGTCGAACCAAAGTTGCCTTTCCCTGGCGGTGGCCGCCAATCATCGTGCACTTCTGGCACATCCGAGCAGTCAAGTGATATTGGCCGACTTGTGGATGGGCGGTTTGCGAACGCGTAAAAATACAAATTTTAAGGTAAGTCAAAAACTCAAACTTGTAACTGACTTCATAAAAAGGAGGAGGTTATCAAATCGTCGGAATATTTTTTTATTTTTTTAACCGACTTCCAAAAAAGGAGGAGGTTATCAGTTCGCCGGAATATTTTTTTTTTATGTACGTTACCGCATAACTTGTTCTTACTTCGAATTGTTAAAATATGAACTTAAATAGAGAGTTTAAGGTAGCTTAAGTTGTGGGAGTCTAACCCCCGTAGGGGCTGCACTTGGACTTTAGAAGCGTTGACATGTGCGATGGCAAGTGATTTTGTACGGTAACCACTACTCTAATTGAAAAAACGCCAGCAACCAATCACGAAAGTTATGAAGAAGGCTAATGTCAATCCGCAGGCGTTCATCAGGATGTGTTGAAAGATTTTGTTTATTCTGGCACCAAAGTCTTACACAAAAAGCTCCCTTGCTGGCTTTCATGATGAAAGCTTCTTGGTCAGAAAGCACTTGAGCATATGTACATTAGGGTGGTCCTTAAATGACGAAATCTCTTTATTTTTTCCTAATTTGAATTTATGTGTATGATTTATTTATTTTTTTGTACTTCTAGGTTATCTTAGGTCTTTTGATACCCGTTTATATCAGACATTTGGATTTCAAATCCAAAGAAGAGCTACAACAAATGCCACAAACCGAAGAAGAGCACTTGGAGAATCAAAATTTGGACAACGACGATTCGGATCGTTCGCAGCCCGATGCTGAGGTATGTACTAGAGTACGATTCCATTATATGGACGTACATTATTTGTTTGTTATTTAATAATTAGATTATTTTTTCCATAATACTCCTAATAAGTAATGTTCCTTTGTTAAACATTTTAAAATAAGTCTTAAAAATTTGTTTTTAAACTGTTCAATTTTCCACTGAACTTGCGATTAGTTGAAAAAAATGCTATCTCTTCATTGTTGTTTGTACATATTATCTACGTTGAAAGTAATCAAAGTGATGAAATAAGATTTGCGTAATTTTAGTAAATTTCGTCGCCAAAATAAATTAAATATTCACTTAAAATTTTTGCTTTAAACTGCTGTTAAAAAATATAAAAAGTTGGTACTTAAGTACCAAGTAAGTAGTATACCTATTTAATTTTTATGAACACTTATTCAACATTTCATAACTGCATTTAAGTAAATTTTATTTCGATATTTCTAAATTTAGAAAACAAAATTTATGATTTACTATAATATTTTGAACTACATTTTTACAACCCTTACTGTATTTGTTCTGCTGCTGCGTTGCTGTTTAAACCGCTCCTACTATAACGACTACTTGAAAAAAAAAAAACGAAAATAAAATAAAAATAACATCTACTACTACCACTACCACTTCTACTACTACTTCTACTACTACTATTACTACTACTGCGACACATTCCCTAGAATGCGCTAACAAAAGCGAAAAGATCAATTTCCTTCAAGTGTAGGATAAGCAGTAACAATAATCAAGACAAGGTAGTAAATTCTGACAAAACAAAAACTTTTGTTATCCCCTTAAATTCTATTAAATCCCGTGTAAACATGTCCGAATAGTAGTTAACTGTGTTGTAGTGTGAATTACGAAAATAGTTAAACTAAAACTTTTAAACTTTCTATATAGATAGTATGTGTATGTGTGATAATTCGAATTGAATGCATACAAAACTTTTCTCTATAATGTTTTTTCTTATACATTTGTATGTAGCATACATGTGTATATTTACCGCGATTGGTTGCTGGTGACTAAATTTTTTTTTTTTTCCATTTTCCAAATATTTTTGTTGTAATTCTCGTCCTATCTCTACTCCTAACTGCTAATCTATTGTTTCTCATACTAGCATACGCATCAAATTCGTATTTAAATTTTTCTAAACTTTTTTTAATCAATCTGTGTAACCTTTTGTATGTATTAACCATCGTTTGAATATACTTTTTCTTTTTTATGTCTAGTACTCTAATCCGTTGTCTGCTGTGCAAATATAGATTAATAAATCTTCTTGTGAATATGTCCGAATGTACATACATATGTATGCATATCTATTTTTTTTTTTTTATGTATGCTCATGCAGATACAATCAGCCTCAAAAATATGGATACCCTCACGTTTTGATAATTTTATTTGTTTATATTTTGCACATCAATTTTTTTATAAAAATGTGGTTTATTCAACAGAAAAACTCACAAGAATCAATTTTCTTAATCGAACTTTCGGAGAAAATATATGAAATACCAAAAAATTAAAAATTTAGGGTATGCGGTTTTGTAGCCCATAAAATTTTAGTGTAATAAAGTCCAAGTTTCAAGGAAGTTTTTCTTATAACCATTACTTAACGCATTTCTTTCATATAAGGGCTGTTTGCAGCTGTCAAGAAAAACGAGAAATTCATATAACACCATCACAATTCCTTAAATCAGTTTGCAGCTTTCAAGAAAAGAATGTTTGTATATTTATTTTTTTTAAGAAAATTTACAGTACTCTTTCAAACAAAAGAAATCATGAAAAAATTTTTTTGTGCTTTTCTTGAGAGCTGCAAACGGCCCTATAACCATAAAAACGATTTTATTTTATAAGAAAGAAGGTACACAACTCCGCCAGCGAAAAAATCTCAAAAATTAATGGTAATTATAAGCCACTGGACATTCGCATTAAAATTTAAACTGCATACTAAAATTTTTTGTAAGAAATCAAATTGAGAAATTATCAATTTCAATGAAAATTTCTTGCATTTTTCCGAGAGTTAAAAAAGAGATTCTTGCGATTTTTGCTGTTTAATGAACCATATTTTTATATAAATATAAGAAAAATTTGGTATGGAAAATATAAATAAATAAAATCGTCAAAACTATAGGGTGTGCATATTTTTCACGCTGACTGTATGTACAGCCACTCACAGAAGTATTCGTGGTTCTCGATACACAAAATCTGTTCCATTAACTTTTTCGTAAATTTTTATTTAATATATAGCCTATTTAATAACAAAAACCATATAAATCAATATTACATATTTTCAACGGAATTCGTAAACTGGCAAAAGTGAAAGTTTTAAGTGCCTTGACTTTTGACTGTTTTTTGCTGGCGATATTGCCGGTTCTCCCCCAATTCACGCATGAAAAAAGTTTATTTTTAACCGACTTCAAAAAACGGTGGAGGACCACATTAACCGATTTCTGTAATAAAACAGCTGGGCCCATACTAATTTGGTCCAGATCCGATCATTGGATGATGAAGAAATTAACCATTAAATTTTTTTAGGAGAACTGAACTCGGCTTAGTTTTTAGCTCAAAAGTTACTAGTTATAATTCTTAAGAAAATCTGACTAAAAACTTTGAAATTTCGGTAGTATTTTTTTAAATTCGCTAAATTTTTGCAAGTTTCGTAGAAAGTTTGCATCATTGATTTATATGGTTTTGAGGTACATTTTAAATAAAAATGAACGAAAATGATTTTGGTTTCTTTTATATTGTAAACTTTTTTTCGCGAGCCAGTCTAATGGGCATACTTTTTAAATTCGTATGTGGGTATACATATGTACATACATAAATTTGTATGTAGTAATCAGTGTCAGCGTTTCATTGCCCTGTTTTCCTATTATTATATATACCTTTTATTATCACATACATACATATATGTAAGATATTTTCCTTTTCCATTATATATTCATAATCATATTCGATAACATATTCACATCAAAAATACTTATATTAATATTGCCAAAACACCAATATTACTAACAGTACCGAAATACAGTAATATGCTGCTTAAGATGTTAAAATTATGGTATGGTTCTGCTGCTCATTACTTAGACTTTCGTTTTGTTTGTATTTTGTGCTAATTGGCTGCTAAATGGTATTTATATTTTGTAAATATATTTTTGAATTGGTTGCTAAAATGTTTATTATTTTGTTGGGTTTTTATTGTTGTATATTTAAATAATTTTAAGTAAAAAGTTTTCGCTTTAAAAAAGACCGATTTTAGTTCGATTGATAGTGAATAACTGAGTTAGAGGGAAGACCAGTATGTATGTAAGAAAGTTAAATTACATGGCAGTTGAGAAGTCCACGTGCAGAAATTTCATAAATTGCATAAAGGAAATTTCTGCACATGCAGCCGTACATAGCAGGCATGTAGGCGCCCGGTGTTAGCAGTCGCGCCTACATAGATATTGTTTCTGGTAACTGGTCTTCCCATTGATATTGCCACACGATGGCTTTGAAAGCTTGTAGGAGAGCGTGTGTGTATTTCAGTGCCTAAAGCTCTATATTCAAAATATATACATAGATATGTATATATATTTATATTTTTTTAAGTAAATCGTATAATCTTTTTATTTTATAACTTTATCGTAACACAGCACTCCCGTGACACGACAAAGACAAGTAATTGGTTGCTTTTGTTGTATGTACTCAATATTTCCGAATACTTGATAAATCATTCTTTTAGGCACTTCTATCAATTTTTTGTTCTATCTGTTGTCTTTTTAGCAGCAGCATACAGGAAACTTCAAATACAAATTTGCTACCCAAAATCTTAGTTTTTTTCACTTTACAAAAGACAAGTTACTTGTTTTTGGCATGTTACGTGGGAGCTTTTTCCGTTAAGCAATCTGCACGGTCGTTTAGCTTTAGACGCGTAGTAAATTTTTTATGCAACGATTCTTGGTCTCTCCATATGCTCTGCTATCACCATCGGATTCCGTGTTGAATACTTTCAGAGCTGGAGCATCGGTGCCCATTCGAACGACATGGTCAAGCCAGCGGAGCCACTGTATTTTAATTAGCTGCACTATGTCACTGTATGTCGTTGTAAAGTTCATACAGCTCATCGTTCCATCGTCTGCGCTAGTCGCCCTCGCCAACCCGTAAAGGCAAGTAAATCTTCTGCAAGATCTTTCTCTTGAATACTCCAAGATCCGCCTCACCGGATGTTGTCACTGACCATGCCTTTGCGCCATATACCAACATAGGCATGAGGAGTGACTTATGGAGTGTGGCTTTCGTACGTCGAGAGAGGCCTTTACTTCTGAAATTGCCCAAAGTAGCACTTGCTGGCAACAGCGATTCTGCGTTGTCGACAGTGACATTATTATCGGTGCTGGTTCCCGAGTAGACGGAATTCTCTACCTTCTCGGAATTGTAACTATCACCAGGGCGCGAATGTGCTAATTGTTTGTTTGATGACAGGAGATACTTGGTCTTGTACCACCAGACCTTATCTATCTTGGGAAAAGGCAGAACAGACTTCGCGGTTCCTATCGAACGCTGTTGTGAAGTATTGTGCCTGAGCTGTTCACTTCTACAGCGCTTATTTTCCTCTCCAACATCAGATTAAAGAAATCGTATGAAAGGGTGTCTCCCTGTCTTAAACCCCGTTTGGTAGCAAAGGCTAAACGTAATTTTACACATCCGTATCAGTTTCGCGTGGATACCAAATTCAGACATCGTGACAAATAGGCAACTCCTTTTCTCGCGGGTCTTTTTTAAGATTTAGCGTATTGTGGATACCTGGTCTATGGTGGATTTGCTAGGTCTAAAGCCACACTGATGCCCAATAAATTTGTTGACGGTGAGATTCAGTCTTTAACACAATCGTCCCGCGTTAGTTGGCTCGTATGGCGGGGTTGCCTTTCTTGTGGATTTCACAGAGCATACTTAAATTCCAGTCGTCGGGCATGCGTTCACCTGACCATATTCTGCATGCGAGTTTATGCATGCACCTTATCAGCTCCTCTCCGCCGTACTTGAATAGCTCGGCTGGCAGGCCGTCAACTCCTGCAGGTTTGTTGTTTTCCAGCCGAGAAATTACTATTGTTACCTCGGCATAGCCGGGTGGTGATACATCGATTCTGTCTTCCTCGACTTCCATATTGGTTTCAGTGGCCTTTAGCAGAATGGAAAAGTGTTTTTCAACCTTTCATAAGACGCCTTACATTTTGATAGAACTATCGGAAAATCTCCACACTCAAATATTTAGCCGCTCTTCAGCTCTCTATATCAATCCCACATACATATTTAGCTCGCTGGAATTCGACTACTCCTTCGGCAGCGATACGCAGCGATTGGGAGATGCGGTCCTGCTTGCATATGATAACTTTTCGTTTATGTGCATGGTTTATGAGTTGGTCCACGTTCGGACGCGATGAAGTCGATCAGCCTGCCACTGTGTTATCGTGTTATGTTTCGTCGTGGATACCCCTATTTTGCCTACCCTACCTTTGGCATCGCTTATCACGACCTTTATATCGCGATGGTGTCAGTCTTCGTAAGCGCTCTCGAAGAGCTCATAGAAGAGGGTTTCGCGAAGCTAGGGGCCAAATATACTATAACAGAGTTTTTAGTTTTTCCCTCTAATGTGAGGATTTTTGAAAGGACTTTGAAATTTCAAAAATATGATTATTTAAAAAAAAAATTATTTAAGCAATTCAGTACAATGTAGAATGACAATATATTTAAAGAGAAAATTATGTACAATTGAGAAATAATATTTTTTTTTGTGCATAAGGACCAAAAGGTGCGGAAAATTACCTATTAA